TATATATATATATATATATATATATATATATATATATATATATATTAGTTGTAGATGGACAGAATACCTTTATTTTATTTATTTATTTTTATGTGGTGCTGAGGATCGGACCCAGTGCCTCACACATGCTAGGCAAGCGCTTCACCACTGAGCCACAAGCCTAGCCCTAAGAGATGCTCTTCTAACTGATGCAGATGAAGAGTATCTCATCCTGATACCGACTCTTATCCTTCCTACCCCTGGACACCCACTAATTTGACCATACAGATTCCCAGTGGCACCATTTCCCAAACGGGGACACTGACTCCCAGGAGGAGAAAGATGCTCTCCGAAGGTGGCCTCTCCTGTAGGGAGCTTGGATGCAGGTGGTGAGCTAGCCCTTCTGGATTGATAAGGAAGTCGAGGCCAGAGCAGCTCCTTCTGTGCCAGCCTGAGGCTGTCATTGCCACAAATATGCGCTCTCTTTGGTCCACAGGTGGGCATTCTCTCTGGCCTCCACTTAACATTCTGGGGTCCCGGACCCTGCCTCTCTCCCCCCCAGATCAAGGCTGAAGATCCCAGTGGTGACTCAGCCCCCGCAGTGCCCCCGCCTCCCCAGCCGGCTCAGCCTCATCTACCCCAGGCCCAACTCATGCTGACGGGCAGCCAGCTAGCTGGGGTAAGTAACTGGGGAGGGACTGGGGTGAAGGCACAGACCAACTCCTCCCATCTGTTGCAGGACTCGTGGAGGAGGAGCCCCAACAAGGCCATAGCCTCTCATGCCTGCCTCCTGCCCTCCTCTGCCCTTGGAAGACTTGTCCTCACCTGCTTGGCTCAGGCTCTAACCCCTCTCTGCCTTCTCTGCTCCCTTGCCCTCTTCGGCCTGCTGCCCACCCACCCGTAGCTCACAGCACTGATGCCAGCTCAGCAGCAGCTCCTCCTGCAGCAAGCCCAGGCCCAGCTGCTGGCCGCCGCCGTACAACAGTCCAGCGCCGCCGCTGCTGCTAATGCCGCCGCCGCTGCCGCCGCCTCCTCTTCTACTTCTTCCTCCTCCTCCTCTTCTGCCTCCTCTTCGCAGCCCCCAGCCTCCTCTGGGGGAGGCGACCTGCCACCACCACAGCCTGCCAGCCAGCCCCCTGGAACCCCACAGCTCACCTTGTCCCAACCCATCCAGCTCACAGCACAGGTAAGGGTGGCCACCAGGGACCATACTCCCTCTAGCAAAGGACAAGCAGAAGCAGTGAGTGTGCAGGGAGGGGCTGACTGGTCCATGTGGGGCCTTCTGACCACCAGCCATATGCTAGGCAGTTTTCAATAATCCTAGGAAGCCTTGGGAGATGTTGCTATCCCATCTTACAGATGGATAAAATGAGGCTCACAAGGGGGAGTATCCCCCATAATAGCCTTTCACCTGATGGTATGCTGAGCTAAATGCTTTCTGTGCATCTCCCTAGGGCCCAGAGCCTCCTAGATATCATTAGTTTCAACTGAACAGGTGAGGAAACCAGAGTCATCACCATGAGTGGTACCTGTATGGGCACAAGCAGATCAGAATTAGTGCCTCCAAGATGTTCTTTCAGAAAGGATTCCATGATCTGTGAGTTAGGAAATGTTAGCTCCTCTCTCCCCCTTCTGGAGTTTATGGGTATATACTGAGCCATGAATTAGTGGTTGTATTAGTTTCCTAGGGCTGCCACAAAAAAATGCTATCAAGTAGGTGTCTTTGAACAATAGAAACCAGGTATGATGACACATGCCTATAATCCCAGTGACTCGGGAGGCTGAGCAGGAAGATCACAAGTTTGAGGACAACCTGGGCAACTTAGCGAGGCCCTAAGTAATTTCGCAAGACCCTGTCTCAAAAAATAAAAATGGCTGGGGAATGCTCCTGGGTTCAATCCCTGGAACCAAAAAAACAAAAACACAATAACCCCTCCTAAAAACAGCAGAAATGTATTATCTCAGATCATAAGTTCAAAGTCAAGGTATCAGCAGGGTCATGCTCCCTCTGCAGTCTCTAGGGGAAAATCGCTCCTTGACTTTTTTAGCTTCTGGTGGTGCCAGCAATCCTTGGTGTTCCAAGAATGGATGGCTCCAAACTCTGCCTCTGTTGACATATGGCCTGCTCTTTGTGTCTGCCTCTGTATCTAAATCTCTTTCTTTCTTTTTTCTTCTTCTTGTGGTGCTGGGAATTGAACCCAGGGCCTTGGGCATGAGAGGCAAGCATTCTACAAACTGAGCTATATCCCAGCCCTGAATTTCTTTCTTATAAGACAAGAGTCATTGTACTAGAGTCTACCATAATGATATTATTATTATTACTAGGAATTGAACCCAGGGGTGCTTAACCGTGGAGCCACATCCCTAACCTTTTTCATTTTATTATTTTGAGACAAGGTCACGCTAATTTGCTGAAGCTGGCTTTGAACTCATGATCCTCCTGCCTCAGCTTCCCAAGTCACTGGAATTACAAGCATGTACCACTGCACTGGGCTCTGACCTCATTTTAACTTGATTATACCTGCAAACACCTTGTTTTCAAATAATGCTATATTTGGGGAACCAGAAATTAGGATTTCACCCTATCTTTTGAGGGTACACAGTCTAACTTGACAGTGGTTAATAAATTTCCCATAAGGATAGTCAGCTAGCAAAAGGAGCAAGGTAGGAGCCTAGTTGGATTCCCCTTCAGACTGACACGTTCTCTCCAGTACATTTGCCCACGTCACCCATTTGTGCTGTCTGTGTAGTTTCCACCAGCACTTGAGTTTGTGCTGCTCATTAAGGGGGGGAAGATCCTGAGAAATCCTGCAACAAAGACACCTGCTTCACCTCCTTAGCCTAGAGGTCCAAAGCTTTTCTCTTACTCCATCCACCATCTTTCCAGGACCCCCTGGCGGCAGATGTTGTCTACCCTGCAAGGCTTTTTCCCTTTTTATTTTTATTTATTTATATATTTGTTCATGCATATACGTATTTATTTATGTATTGGTACTGGAGCTTGAACCCAGGGGCACTCCACCACACTGAATCCCCAGTCCTTTTATTCATTTATTTTTTTATTTTGAGACAGGGTCTTGCTAAGTTGCTGAAAGTCTCACTAAGTTGCTGAGGCTGGCCTCCAACTTGCCTCCTGCCTCAGCCTCCCAAGGCGCTGGGATTACAGGTGTGCACCAAAGTCTATTCCCTTGATGGAGTTCATCCCTCTGTTACTGACTGATGCTCCCATCTGGAATTTGCCTGAACACTGAACTGATACCTGCCTTCTTTAGAATAGGCTGCTCCTGGGCCTGATTCTGCAGGGAAACTCAGAGCCACCGGGCCTCACTGCTCTATGATGACTCTTCCTGTGTCGCCTTCCAGTACCTGGCTCACCATAGAACAATAGCTGTGGTCTAGTCTTCTGGGTGCTGCCTTTGTACCAGGCACTGTGCCAGCAGTGACTTCTGAACTCATGCAGCCTCACTTCACCTGAGCTCCCAGTGGCAAAATGACATTCCCCGGGTCACACAGTTAACAGAAGTGGCAGAACTGGTTAGGAAGCCAGTGGTGCTGGGAATTGAACCCAGGGCCTTGGGAGCCTAGGGCTCTAACCACATGGCCTCTGACTGCTGCCTTTAGCTGTCTTCCTTGGACATGTCCTTCACGGCCCCTCCCACCCAGGTCACCAGCAGCAGGTGTTCCATTTGCCTCATAGTACACGGCCAAGGGCTCTTTACTTAGCAATGCCAAGCCCTTGGGGCTCCTCACTGGGCTGGGCAGCCCCTACTCCCGTTCTCCTTTCTACCTAGAATTGTTCCCTTTCTTTACCTGGACAGCTACTCTTCATCCATTAGGCCCAACTCAATAGTACATGTCTCCATGAGGTCTGTGTGGATTTCCCTCCCTCCCGCTGTCTGAATATGCCTAAGGAAATGTCTGTCAGAGGGACAAAGGCTAGAGGAAGGAGGAGGGCGAAAGGCAGGCAACCCGGTGCAGGCCCAGCCAGGCCATCACCCCATTAGCAGCCAACACTCCATGCATTCGTGCACCCCTAGGAACTCCCAACCCTCTGACTGCCCAGCAGCAGGCCAACCCTCTGCCACCTGCTGTCCAGCCAGTCCCTGGTTGCTAAGGTCTCCTTGAATCTCTCCCTGCAAGCCCTTTCCTCTTACTCCTACCTCCCCAGCATCCTCACCCCTGGTCTTTCTCTGTGTGTCCTCAGCTTGTGCAAAGCTGGACCAAGTTTGTTTTCTAGGGATTCTTTCTAGGCTGAGTTACCTTGTGGCCCCAATTTCCCATCAGTAGTTTATTCTGTACCGTCTGGGTGCTCGACACCACGCAGGGCCCAGAGGCAGCTCCGCCTGCCCCAGCTGCCCACTGCTTCAGCCCTCCCAGCCAGCTCCTGGGCCTCCAACTCCCCATCCTCCACTTCTCTTGCCTGCTCAGCTCCATTCTTTCAGTCATTTCACAGATATTTCCTGGCCTTCTGAGAGTCAGGCCCTAGCAGGAAGCTGAAGACTTAGTAGTGAGTCCCAGTCATCCTTGCTCCTCAGGAAAGATGTAGTGAAACAGGCACATCAACCATTGAGAAGTTTTATTTACAGATATTAAGAAGCCCAGAAAAGAGAGTCAAAAGCACCCATAGAACTAGGGTGTAGCTCAGTGGTAGAGCACTTGCACAGCATGTGTGAAGCCCTGGGTTCAAACGCAGCACTGGGGATGAGGGGGAAGCACTTATAAACTCTGTCACTCCAGAATTATATAAAGTATGAAGGCGCAGTCCTCCTTCCATAGTGCCAGTTAGACAGTTTGGCAGGATCCTTCCCTGCAATTTCCTGGCTTACAGATGAAAGGTTAATTGTAATATTGTTTTATAATTTGACCAACGTTCAGTGAGGTGTATTCAACCTGGGGCAACATGAATGCTTATGGAATCAATGAAGGACGTTTTGCTGCAGTTTTTTGATCTCTCCAGGGGAGTGTTTCAAAATGTCTGGGATAGGAGTTGGCATTGATTGAAAACTTACATTAATCATTAACTGTTAAAATATTATTCTGTATTTGGAACGTGTGAATGTCAGGGAAGCAGGCGTAGAATCCCTATTTTCCTAGTAGAACCACAGGAAATAAAGGTTACCCAAATCTTTTAGGCTGGTAATGCCTAGTGAATAAAGGTTTCCTAGGGACACCCACAGGATGTGGTGGGAATGTGGGACAAGGAATGTGCATGTGTCCAAGGGAATCTGGCAGGCTTTCAAGAGAAGGCAGTATCTGAACTGAGGGGAGGAGTGTGTTGATGAGTTGGAAGAAGGGCTTCCACACAGTGGGAAGAGCCAGTCAGTCGTGAGAATGCAGGACAGGCTTAGGGAGCTGGGGAGGGTGTCAGCGAAGAATAAGCTGGGAGGGGGCTCCAAATAGGCCAAGGCTCGACTCAAGGGTGGCTGAAGAAGAAATGGAAATATTTGACTCAGATCATTGAAAACACCTGCCCTGGAATATCACACCCAGCTCCAGAGATCTGTCTTCTTGTTTCATTCTGGGGCAAGCGAAGTGGCACCAGCACTTCCAGACTTCCAGACTTCCTGCCCTGAAGGATCCGACATATCCACTGGTCAGGTTTGAGTGGTCACCCAATCCCTGGAGAAGGCAGGGTCAGCCCCATCTGGCCCTCATGACTTGAGCATGGGGGAGACAAGTTCCCACAGGAAAGAGATGTTGTTGAAGAGGGATAGTGGTACCAGACCTGGAGGTGTGTGGTCAGTGCATCTTAGAACCTTGGGGTTCCAGGATTGGGCCAGTCTCTCCCACTATTGTCTGCCTGTCCTGGAATTTTAGTGTAAGGCAGCATGTAAGGTGCATGCAAGTTTATCTCCCTGTTGAATGGTTCTCTGTGTTTCATGGTGTTCTGACCCAGCGGTCAGGATTTCCTGGGTTCCATGTGGAGAGGCCAACCTCTAGGAAATGTAGTGCAGAGATGAGCTCACTCTGGACTCTGGACATCCCCACTTCTTCTTCTTCTTTTTTTTTTTTTTGTACTTGGGATTGAATCCAGGAGAGCTTTACTACTGAGGTACATTCCCAGCTGTGTGTGTGTGTGTGTGTGTGTGTGTGTGTGTGTATGTGACAGGGTCTTGCTAAGTTGCTTAGGACCTCTTTAAACTGCCCCAGCCTCCCAAGTCATGGGATTTCAGGTGTGTGTCACCA